AATAATATTAGCAATGTAATATGTGTTTGTTTAATTGATCTCCATCCCTGTGCTTAAGATCAAAAAAAGGATCGTTAAACGAAATTATAATCTCAAATGGCCTTGCTATTAAATAAAACATTTCATTCACTTATATATAAATTTAATTATTAGGTCGTGAGTATCAACTACAGTAATTTATAAATTAAGGCTTAATAATCTATTAAATAAAACGTCTCTAATTATTTATATATTAATTATTAGCCGGTGAGTATAAAACTAACTTATAAATTAAAACTTTATAATAATTTATTATTTATATAAATTAAATTATTAGATTGTGAGTATGAGACTATTTTATGATTAAAACTTTTATAGTAATTTACTATTAAATAAAATGTCATTAATGTAAATTATACTATTAGATTGTAAGTATAAAACTTTATGATAATTTATTATTAAATAAATACCTCTAATTATTTACGTTTAATTAAATTATTAGGTGGTGAGTATGAAACTAATCTATAAATTAAACCTTTATTAAATAAAATAACTCTGATTGTGCAAATTAAATTATTAGATAGTAAGTATAAAAACTTTTTATAAATTAAAATTTTATAATAAGTTCCGATTAAATGAAACATCTCTAATTATTTTTATATGTATAATTATTAGCTCGTAAGTATAAATTATTTTATAACTTAAAAGCTTCATAATAATTTACTATTAAATAAATATCCCTAATTTTGTATTTATATAAATTATTAGCTTGTAAGTATATGACTATTTTATACCATATAGTCGCGAAATAACATGCAGGGGCGTTGTTTCGAATTTCGGCCTAAATTACGCTTAATTTAGGCCGAAATTCAAAATTACTCCTCTGCGCGTTATTTCGCGACTATGGTAATATATTAATATTGTATTTCTAATTATGCAATTTAAATTATTAGGCAGTAAGTATAAAACTGATCTATAAATAAAAACCTTATAATAACCACTATTAAGTAAAACATCTCTAATTATTTATATAAATTAAATTATTAGTTCGTGAGTATTTAACTAATTCATAAGTTAAAAACTTTATTATAATCTGTTAAATAAAACATTCCCAATTTTAATTATTTATATTTATAAATAAAATATTAGCTTGTAAGTATAAAACTATTTATAAATTATATTTTTTTCAAAAAATTTTATAATAATCTATTAAATAAAATATCTGTAAAATTATTAGGTTGTAAGTATAAAACTGGTTTATAAATTAAATCTTTTTAATAATCTACTATTAAACAAAATATTCACTAATTATGCAAATTAAATTATTAGGTCGTGAGTATAAAATTAATCTATAAATTAAAAATTATTACTAAATAAAAAAAACCTTAAATTATTTATATAAATTATTAGCTTGTGAGTATGAGACTTTTATAAATTAAAATCTTTATACTAATCTACTATTAAATAAAATATTCTAATTATGCAAATTAAATTATTAGATCGTGAGTATAAAATTAATCTATAAATTATAAAATTTATAATAATTTGAACTATTAAATAATATATTTCTAACTATTTATATATAAATTATTAGCTTGTGAGTATAAACTATTTATAAATTTAAAAATTTTATAATAATCAACTATGAATAAAATATTTCTAATGATCATGTATATCAGAAATGGAGCGAAATGAAGAATATGGTTTAACGACAAGTGAAGTAGCAGGTGCAATTTTCAACACCTAATTAGATAATCATTCCTCATAATTTCATTTTTGGATTTCTATCCTTGTATGAGACTCTTGTACATTAATGTTATACATAAGTTTATAATGCTGTTAGTGGTGCAATAAAACCACAGTGTGTTCCAAAAACACTTTTAAATCTTAATATGACATGAATATTCAAATAATAGTTTAGAGCGTGTTACGGCTCTGGGAGGGACTAGTGACGGGTTCGGTTAGGTTATAGCCGGCTAGCTGACCGGCTATAGCCGTAGTCGATGATAGTCGACTAGACCGACTTAGCTGACCGGCTGCTAGCCGATACCAAATTTTTTATTTCCTGGCTGATAAATCATAATCATTGCTTTAATTCGGCATGAAGTGCACAAATTACAGAATCATTGCAAGAAATGCCCTCCGTAGCAGATTCTCGATTTTGATTGGCTAAGAACGATCAAAAATTTAGGCTGAAGTTACTCGAAATTTTACTAATGAAAAATCACATCTGCCTATTAAGTGAAAAATTTTCCTGAACTAATTTTCATAGTGTAGGTCTATTTCCCTAAAAATTTCTATTTTTGTAATAAAAAAGTTGGAAACTTAATTCCGGCCAAAATTACGTAACAAATGTATAATGCGGGTCAAAATTTTGTAGACACGGCATTTAGCTAATTAATCTAAATTGGTGCGACAGCTAAGGTGTTTTATTGTAAGATACTAAAAGACAAGCATGATTTATCTAACAATCGAGCATTTTTTGTCGATGATTTGCAAGAATACAGAATTTTAATAATATATAAATCACAGTTTGCAAAATGTATCCAATTTCAATAATTTTATTATTATTATTTTAATCCTATAAGTTTACAAAAAAAATTCCATCAAATTTAAATCAATGGTTGTTGAGAAATTTTCGTTTAAAGTTTTTAAAAAAAAAGAAAGTTTAAAATTTTTAGTGAAAATTTCTCAACAACCATCTAAAAAAAAATTTATCAGTTACAGAGAAGTCTTGAAAGTTTTTCAAAATTTCGTATGACCCGTCACCATGGTAAGCACATTCCCACGATTCATTTTTCTTATTTTCCCTATTTTTTGCATTTTCATTATTTTCATTATTTTCCTGTCCTAAAAGATGTTATCGCGCTTTTTAAATTACTGTGTCCACGGATTTTAATACATCACGCTGAAAATCAGAAATCTAGAATAAATACCAATACGTGATTTGCTAAAAATTATTTTTAACCAATCACAAGTTTTGAATTTCTGATTTCCAGTGTGATGTATGAAAATCAGTGAACACAGTAATTTGAAAAGCGCTATAATATGTGATCGTAAGAAATAATAATAAAATAAAAATGGTAATACCAAGCATAAGCATGTTCTTTATATAATCTGTTTTTTCATTTGAATCATCTATTTTTTTAACATTTTGTTTTGTACAGTATCCGATTCCAATAATTCTATTAAAAAATAGAATCAAATAATAATTAAAAAAAATTGCAAGAATAAAAGGGTGTAGTTTATGGCACGAAATAATTATTAGTATTACCCATTTTTTCCACTATTTATGATTTCAATTTCAAAGTAAAATATTCCACATCGTAAAGGGATTGGATGATTCGCTCGAACTATAGCTGCTTTATAATCATCAGGATCTTTAATTGAAAATTTTTAATAAATTAGTAAGCTATGTGTTATTTACGATTAACACTCATCAAATCGATATGTTAACCCAATAAAATATGTTTCTGCAAAGATTCTCGTTTTAATATTACCCGTATAATTCACTTTAAGACCACTTGAATCTATCTTAATAAATGGTGATTTATCTTCAATATCCCATGCTGTAGGTAAAGCATCATCGTGTGAATCTTCCATTGGGTTAATATTCGCAGATAAGAAGCTTGAGAGAGTCGTCAATGTGACAATTATTGTATTTTTTTTTAAAAAAATAAATAAAATTTAGTATGGCATAAAATTTTAAAATTGAATGGTTCTGTTATTTAGAATTTTGATCAGAGACTGACAACTAGTGAACAGAACTCAATTCATTTATAGAATTATTTGTATGTACGGTGCGTACGTACACTTGCACATCAGCCGTCCCTAATGCTGTGCATACTGATACAAAACATTGTCGAACATTAATATGTAACCCTAACTGTCACACTAAAACTGCAAATTCTGATTGTACGTACCTGACTAAGACTGTTCTCAAACATATAAATCAATTGATCAGATAATAATCGTGATGACGCTCAAGCATCACAATCAGTGTTGGGCTGGACAATTGGACATGGACATTGGACCACACTTGTCCAGTCCAGTCCAATCCATTGGACCAAAAAGTATTGGACAATAATATATAAATCAACATATAATCATTATTGAACATATTGCCAGTCCAATAGCATAAAAATAGTTGGACATATGTCCAGTGCCAACACTGATCACAATTGATGACGATATTTGTAGAATTAAATGCTTGAACATACTTTTTCTGTTTTTCGTAATGTTCGCTATACTACCTAAAAAACCTAATGAAAAAAAAATTCTTTTCGAGCAATCGTTAAAGTTTTCAACTTTAGTTACGTCGGCTCCTCCTTTTAATGATTTTAACAATTTAAACCTCTTTACTATCCGTCAAATATGGAAAAGCATATACCCAAGCCTTTCATTTTTAGGTCTTCTTTACTGAGAAGATTTTAAATTTAAATGTGTGAAAATGGAATAACAGTATTAATTATAGTTTATTAAAGTTAAAGCATTCGCATCAAGGTATCGATTATGATATGTAAAAAATGTAAAAGTAATGCTTTAGCGACCTTTATCAATGGTAATTTGCTGAAGAAAAAAGGTGGTTTGTGTCTCGCTGATTTGTTCATCGAAATGATAACTCACTTGGTCAATTTCCGACTAATTAAAAATTTACTTCCGATCCATTGAGTGAGGTTCTTGAGAACACCTTTAATCCAATATGTAATACTGATATCAACATAATCTATTATAATACTTTCAAATGTTGCTTCAATAAATCTAAAGAACGACATTGCCAGCGTTGTTTATACACATCCTATCATTTAAGAGAAAATCTTCTCAAACTGATGCCTAAAATTTGCCAGCTCAACCAACAGTTCAATATTTTCAGCAGCCATAATATCAAATTTTCAAATTTTTAATGCGAATTTCTCCAAGAGCCGGCTACCCAGGTAGTGGTCTGGTGTCCGGTATTATATTCTCAGCTTCATTTTCAAATTTTCACTAAAGTGAATTAAGTGTTTCATATTTGCTTCCTATTATTCGACAATGAAAATATTAATAAGCAAATTCTTTAACACATCAATTAAAAATTGTAATGACTGAAGTGCATAAACCAATACTAATTCAGTATTTGAAGACACAGCATTAAATCTAAAAAAAAATATTAAGATATTTGTGATGTTTCAAGACGCAATAAGATTCATTGTTGGGCTCATATTATGAGAAAGTATGCTCTATTTTCTATACAGTTGTCGTGCAGAAATTTTTTTTTATTATATTTTTTTCTATTTTTATTTTTATTTTTATATTTTTTTCTTTCTTTTTCTTTTTCTTTATTTAGTATTATATTATATGTCGTTATTTATATTTCTCTTATGTTGGGAAAGGATCGTTGTGGCACGATTGAAGGATTAAATCCCCAAACGACTGATCAAAAAAATAGGCTGGGTTTCTGCACATAGAAGAAATCAATTATCGCTCACAGTAATTTACGGTTTCAGTTGTATTTACGTTTGGGCATAATTCAAATGTATTGGATTTATTTGAGAAACTTTAATAAAAGAGAAACCTTTAACCCGTAAAATCTTGCCAATTTATATTTTTTTAAAAATAAGATATAGTATTAAACTCGAAATTCTACATACGTAATTCAAAACTTCTAGATCACCTATCACGTGATATTCATAACATAAATAGTCATACAATTTATACCCATTTTGTTCACAATCGAAGCTAGAGCTTTAAATAATGATGGTTTCTTTCCCATTGCGATTTTTTGAATCACTTTTTGCCATTCGACTTGACAATATTAGCAGATCTCATTTCATTCAAAACGTATAGATCGTTTCCCAAAGGATGTTTATAACCTAAGCTCATTAAATCGTTGGCCCACCAATAAGCAAGCAAAGAAAATAATTTGGCTTTTGCCTCGAGGATTTTAATATTTGGAAGAGGAGGAGGAGGAATTGATTTCTCAAATACCATTATCGTAATTCAATTGATAAGAAGAAATTTTTGTTCTGATATTCGTTCTAAAAAGTAACTCGTTTTAAAGTGTATCTGGATAACAGTAAATTATCCGGCAGCTAGAGATGGAAAATTTACCGTATAATAAGATTTGATATAAATACCAAGTTATTGTACCAAATAATACAGTGAAAATTAAATTAATAGTACCAATGGAACTTTACTATTGCAAAACTTCATTGAAGGCCAAAATTTTCCACTGAAGTCAAAATTAACAACACTGCATATAATAACTTTATAATATCTATAAGTTGTATAAATTTAATAACGTGAGTGGATATTTATTGAATTTTAATAATGATTGACAAGCAAAAAAATAAAAATTAAATAAAATAAATAAATAAATAAGAAGTAAAAAATTAACGAATACTGTAATAATAATAATGCTGTAATGTATCAGATAAAAAAAAACATATTTAAAATATTTATTATAGTCGAATACACTAGTACGATAGGTGGCGCAAGGCGCCATCCACCCTATTCATAAATAATTTATGTTTTGTCTGCTTTTTTTTATTTGTTTTTAGCAAAGCCACAAATAATTTCTCACCTGGAAATTTGTGTTATATTTATTAAGAATGTTTACAGTTGATTTTTATCATTAAGAATGTTTACAGTTGATTTTTATCATGTTATGTTATTATCCTAAAGCTGATGTGGAAATTAATATAGTTATGGCACTTTTCGTTATGTCATGATACTAATATTGTATAATCTTATTGTCAGTAAAAGGTTAGGATAAAGACATATTGATGTGTTGGGAAGTGGGCGAAGTGAAAGTTTAGGAATGGGTTCAATACAGTAGAAGATCAAAAATGAGGCGCAATAGAAGATTGGAAAAGATAAATATCCAAATTTTTTTTGTTTGAGAACATTTTTAAATTTATAATTTTATGTTCTCAAAAATTTTTAATGTTCTTGATAATAAAAAATTTTATGTGTGCAAATAGAAATTATCTTTTTTTTGTGCATGAATAGATTATTTTATTAGACCCAACACCTCCTGATCGTGATAGTTTCTCCACGGTATTAAGTATACTAATGAATAATTTTTATATACAGATATTATTCTTTTATTAATCATTGAAATTAATAATTCACGATAGACATATTATTATTTTTGGTGATAAAAAAACTTTGGCTTGATTGATTCAGTAAGGGTCCTCTCAATAATCTATGGATCTTACAACATCTCAATAGTCCAAATGTTTAACTATTGATGGACATACCGTGAACAATTATGAGGTAAAAAAAAGTATTCGGAAAATGGGAGCTATTCATTATACATTGTCAATACAAGTATGGATGGCAATTTTTTAATACATTTTAGAACATTGACGTAATCATTGTTATCGTAAAAGATTAAATTGAAATTAACAATTTGCATCTTAAATGCAATGCCTTTTTTAAAATCTTTACAATTATAAATACTTTTAATAAATATGATAGTTTAGTAAAAGAATTTTTTTTCCGTATGAATGTTTTCTCGAAACGATATTATGGAACTTTTCCGATACAGAAATTAAACAAACAGAATCAATTATTTCAGTTCAAACTTAGCTGCCAATGTTTTAAAACGTTTTTAGTTAAAAAACACAAAAACATTTTTAACCTTTTTTTTTTTTTTTTACCATCTCTCCTACACTAACTCAATCCGTCAAAACTAAATGTTGGCTTAATTATTGGTTGGTAATACTATTTCTTGTGTCATTATTTTAGTAACATTAGTTATTAAAAAACCAAACATTGCCTTAAGATTTAATTCATTATTTACATATCTTATATATTGTTGGCACTAAGTTACGAAATCTTTTCTTTTTATTTATTTCTATTTATTTGTCTATTTTATTGCAAGTTTGCAGTGCCAGCCTATCAAATTATTCATTTGTGAATGGATTTAGTGCTCATCATGTTGCAACTTAAAAAATTATTTGTCATTCACTATACATTATGAAAGATTTGTTTGTGGCCTTTAATAAAAAAAGAATTATTACAACCTACTTACAATTGATTGTCATTCTTTGTGTCTAATCTACTTTCTAACAAAGAACAATATTTTTTTTTACTTAAATCCTCGCATTAAATTTATTTCAACATATTATTTTTATGACTTAGTAAATAATATCTTTTATACAGTATATTTAGTTATTTTATCTTTCTCTTATTCTTATAAATACAACTTTTAAATCATCAATATTGTATTATAAATATAAGATATGCAATATATACCCTGAAGGCACTGAAAGTCAGTATATACTCGCATGCTTGTTATTTCTTTTAGGGTTTAAAGTCGTAGACTCATTCAAATAATTTTTCATTCCAAAATCTACAAGTCGAAAAATATTTTTTGCATCTTTATAAAAGACGAATGCATTGTATTTAATTTATACTTAAAAGATTTGATTTTACTTTTTTTGAAAAAGAAATTATTTATTCCAAAATATCAATCATTGAAGTGTGAGAACAACAACGACAAACCAATATGAAAATATATGTAGAAACGTTAATCGACTCAAACTGCTTATATATTTTTATAAAACTGATTGATTAATAGAGTTGAACAACTTCTCTAGAAAGTATGAACATGATATCAGGTTCCCATCAAAGTTTATATTGAAAGAATTTAAGTGAAATTTTTGTCCTTTTTTTTTTCTTTTTAGTGATATAACGAAAAATTATAAGATTGAGAAATTAAACGAATGATTTTGTTGAATCCCACAAATAGACGTAATAAGATAAACGTGTGATGATTTTTTTGAAGGATACAGGCCCAAAGTTGTTAGTTGTTATGATTTCGAAATCTGGATTTAAAATGATGGGAAATTTTTGTTAGTAAACTTGCAAAGGTTTGGTTATATTATGACAGTAAAAATTTGAATTCAAGCACAAGTTATCGATAATAAGACAAGAAAACCTATTTATACCGTACTTGCTAAGGTTTCACAATAAGGAAACGTGAAATTTAATTTCATATTTTTTTGTGATGAAATGACAAAAACTGATGAACTGAAGAAGCTGGCAAAAAGTAGCAGAACTAATAAGAGATCCAAAATGGTAAAAGCTGATTAAGAAATTGATAAAAGAGAAGAATTGAATGAAATTTAACAAATTTGAGAAGTAATAAAGATTATCCTGGAAAATTAATTTTGTAGAACAAATTTATACATAGCCAGGTTATCAATTTTATGAAATCGCTATTCTTAATAACGATATATTTTGTACCGAACACAATCCCTAATAAACTAGATTGTGTCCACTGATTAGATTTTTTTAGGTGTTCACTATGCAAAAAGTTTCGCCTAACAACTATAAGCTATTACAATTTAAATAATTTCAGTTCAATCCAATGTAAATTATGCTCTTTTTTTTATTACTATAATTTATTGGTTATTGATATTTGTTATTTAAAGAAAAGGTTAGTATTTACTTTTCCTTTGCTATTATTCAAAATTAGTTTACCGAAATATTATGCTCTTACTCCAATCAAAAATATGCTTAACTATATTTTTGATAAATATGATTTCAAAAGAACTAAAATAAAAAAAAAACTGTACTAATATGAAAATACGCATTAACCACGTTATTATACGATAAGCGATAAGATTTAATAATTACTTTAAATAGATTATTTCATGCTGCAAAATATTTCATTTTCATTTGGCATCGTTTATTTATTTATACTAATAAAAACTTGACGGTGTAAAGAATAAATAGCTACTTAACACTTAAACCTTTTTACTAATCTGAAATACTTCATATTCATTCACCGAAAGTATCTGCGTCATATAACTAGGTACATTTTCTTGTAATACACATGGACAATACCAACATTCACTAGAGTTATTAAAGATTACTAAATCACAAAGGGCGCCGCTAACACCACCGAAAACTGGACCACCATCACGATTACACAAAATTGCATGACCTGGTTCTTTTACACGGCTTAAAATTGAATTTTGAACATTACCATTTTTCAGTGAAAAAATAAAGCTATCTTTGCAATTCCTATATTCCCAACTTTTAATCGGTTTATCCCATCCAATAGGATTATAACCACCAATAATTTCGTCTGTGTCTTTGATTTTTGCAACTACAATAACATTTGTTTTATTATCGCATAAATTCCAAAATGAATCTTTGGTAAAACCATCTCTGGTTCCGCGAAGAAGTAATTTAAATTCATATGGGTTGTTTGTTACAGGATATGGATCGGATTTTTTATCAATCCATGAAGTAATTTCAGCTGCGTGTGCTTCACTAATGACTGTTGAAAATGGTTCATCATCAAGGAATTCAAAATAATTTTTTGAAAGCTTTTTAAAAAATTCCAATGTCATTTTTTTTCGATAGAAGTTAAATGATACAGTATATAAGTTAATGATCGTTACTTAATGTATAGTCAGTGATACAAGGTTACGTTTCATATTATTGCAACATACTTTATCGTAACAGTAAACATGTGTTACGTAGAAGGTATTTTCCGACACACTTTCTCTTAAAGTTGTTTTTATTTGGCGTCACATATTTATTCATACACTTGACAAAAACCACTTATTAACGTTTAAAATTTCAGACTTTTTTTACTGCTCTGAAATATTTCTGGTATTCATCTACCAAAAAAAATCCTCAATTGCATTTTGACATAATGATGACTAAATCATAGTTGCCATCATCAAAAAATATAGACCACAGCCGGAATTACAATTTTTCAATGAAAAAAAAGCTATTTTCGCAATTTTTATATATCTATATTTTGGTATATAGATGATAATAGCAGTATAGGCAGTTTTTGTAGATAAAATGATTATTATAAATTAAATGCCTTCTGGCCCTTGGGAAAAATGTTGGTTTATTAAAATACTGTACTTGTACGTATATTTAAAAATCATACCTATCCAACTTATAAGTAGGAAAGATGACATTACTTATAAGTATAGTAAGTATTAAAACGATCATACTTGTGCGTAAGTGTAAGTATGCCTGTGCGACGAAAATTTGTAACAAAAATTTCACATGACACAAGTACTGTACTAGGCTTGGGTGATCGTAGGGAAATGTAGGAAAATTGGAACCAAGATCAAATGCAATATAGCGTGATGGTGATAAATTGGTGATTAATTAAAAAGTATAAGGTATTAAAACGAAGCATAAAAAATTAATATAGAAATGATATAAGTGATGTGATTATGTAATACGTATATAATATAAAAGTAAAATCTATTGAAAATTTTAAAACAGCTATTGATTTGCAGATACGAAATAGGAATAGTTAATGAGTACTTAAAAAGTAAGTTATTTATTCAATTAATAAATTTATATTCTAAAACTATTTAATCTTTAGAAAGTAATAATATAATCAATTATGCAATGCTTTTAAATTATTTTATTTAGTGAATATGTTTAAAAATATTTGTTAGTAATTCAAAGCAACGCCTACATGAACCCGATTAGTATCCTAAAGGTCTCCTATTTCCGCCAAATGTCTATTTCAAATAAGGTTAATATCGGGATTACGTTATGTTGTTGGAGCCCGATTTACCTTCATTCGACCTGTGATAGCTTTTGGGAATTGAGTGACAACCCAGTAGTGAATGCTATTGATTCTTTACGCAATTTTAAAATATATAATAATTCTGAAACTATTAAAGCTAAAGTCTATACAGCTATGATAATTCAATTAAGTAACAACTTAATGAATTAGACAAATATGAAGGTGAGAAAACACAGAAAAAGTTAATTGTTACAATAATGTCTAGCTTGCATTGGAATTTCGATTTATATATATATATATAGGGAACTGCTATTCGCACCATGGTATATGCAGATCATTTCGATTTTATCACAAAACTATTTTAAATACTTTAAACTTTGATCGATGTTATCTCGGAAACCAATCAATCAAATTTGATAAAATTTTTTTTTTATTCGAATTCTGTAGTTCCGTAGAATTCGAATAAAAAAATTTTCATCAAATTTTATCGATTGGTTGCCAAGATATCTTCGATCAAAGTTTGAGTAAAGTTTTAAAACGTATATTATAGAAGCTGCGCCAAAATTAGTTACAAATCTTTGATCAAATATATCTCGGCAACCAATCAATCAAATTCGATTAAAATTTTTTTATTCGAATTCTGTAGTTCTGTAGAATTTGAATAAAAAAATTTTATCGAATTTGATCGATTGGGTACCGAGATATCTTTGATCAAAGTTTGAGTAAAGTTTTAAAATATATATCACATAAAAGCTGCGCCGAAATTATTTACAAATATTTGATCGAAGATATCTCGGCACCCAATCGATGAAAATTTTTTTATTTGAATTCTGTAGTTCTGTAGAATTCAAATAAAAAAATTTCATAGAATTTGATCAATTAGTTGCTGAGATATCCTCGATCAAAGTTTTGTAACCAATTTTGGTGCAGCTTTAATGTGATGTATATTTTACTTTATGCAAACTTTGATCGAAGATATCTTGGCAACCAATCGATCAAATTCGATGAAAATTTTTTTATTTGAATTCTACAGAACTACAGAATTCAAATAAAAAACTTTTCATCGAATTTGATTGATTGGGTGCCGATATATATTCGATCAAATATTTGTAAACAATTTTGGCGCAGCTTTTATGTGACATATATTTTAAAACTTTACTCAAACTTTGATCAAAGATATCTTGGTACCCAATCGATCAAATTCAATAAAAATTTTTTATTCAAATTCTACAGAACTACAGAATTCGAATAAAAAAATTTTCATCAAATTTGATTGATTGGTTGCCAAGATATATTTGATCAAAGATTTGTAACCAATTTTGGCGCAGCTTCTATAATATATGGTTTAAAACTTTACTCAAACTTTGATCGAAGATATCTTGGCAACCAATTAATCAAATTCGTTGAAAATTTTTTATTTGAATTCTACAAAACTACAGAATTCGAATAAAAAAATTTTCATCAAATTTGATCGATTGGTTACCGAGATATCTTCGATCAAAGCTTTGTAAACAATTTTGGCGCAGCTTTTATGTAACATATATTTTTAAACTTTACTCAAACTTTGATCAAAGATATCTCGGCAACCAATTGATCAAATTCGATGAAAATTTTTTTATTTGAATTCTACAGAACTACAGAATTCGAATAAAAAATTTCATCGAATTTGATCAATTGGTTGCCGAGATAACTTCGATTAAAGTTTAAAATATTTAAAATAATTTTGTGATAAAATCGAAATGATCTGCATAAACCATGGTGCAAATAGAAGTTTCCTATATATATATTTATTTAATAAATTGCAATATAATTTATAAATATTTTTTATCTATCTACCAGTTTTGTATATTTGAAATTGTATTTTGATTTTTAGATTAATTTTATCTTGTTTTGTTAAAAAATATGTTTCATTATTTTCGTTAACTTCATTGTTTTCATTGTTTTCATCATTTTTATTATTATCTTCATCATCATTTGTATTTTTTTTTTTATCACTTTCTAATCTTTCTTTCTATAAATGATTTAACATTTTCAAAAACTTCTCTTTTATAATATTGAATACAATATTTACATTTGTTATCCATTTTTTTATAACAATCTAAATGATATCCATGTCCACAAATTAAAATTATTGTATTTGATTCATTAGCTTTTATAAATATTTGTTTGCATTCATCATATTGATTTAATGTGGGTGGAAATGATGAATAATATCTAGTAGGAAAACATCTAATATCTACTGTTTGTTGAAGATTTGATAATATAAAATTTCTTTTGTTTTTGTTAAACTTAGTTTTTCCAATATTCTTATAAATAGAATAAAAAGTTTCTAATAAAAATATTGATGTTTTTTTAATTAATATATCTAATGTTGATGAAGAATAAAGATATTTTTTTTGTATTTTTAAAAGAATTAATAAAAGAGTAATTATGATTATTTAATATATATGTTTGTTTTTTTATAGTATCTGCTGAATCTCTTGAAGTTGTAGTTGCTCGAATTTTGCTATGAACATTTTCAACAAAATAATCATTAAAATACACAAGATATAATTTTAATAATTCAGCAAAAGGGTGTTCAGTTTCTTTCTAATAAAAATAATCTGATAAAAAAGCTAAAGGTGCTTTGTTGTAATTTTTTCGACTCCAGTATAATGCAAATGTCCAAATTTGAAAAATTGTTTCTATATATTCCTCAAATGATTCAGATCTAAAATAAGTGCATATATATCTAAAGCTACTGAAATTAAATTATCAATAAGCATTCTATATTCTATATCTTTGTATAATTTAGAAAATTTTAAAATTATTATATTGCTAATTTGTTTCTAGCCTTCACTTGCTAGCTCTAATAAAAGATTAATTTTATAAGGTTTTGGATTTTTTGCCAAATTTTTTTTTTTTATATTAAATACAGATTTATATAATTTGTTAAAAAATTCATAATGAACTATTATAATATGTTCTCTTGTATTTAAAGAAACATGTAAAGGACCCAAAATTGGAAGAAAATTTTCAATCTTTGGTGAAATAGTAAGTTGAAATGCTGGATTATTTTTTTAATAATCTAATTCTTTTTGTAACTGAGTAATAGCTTTTCGAATATATAATTGTCCTGACCAATCTGCTATAACTGGCAAAATATTTTGATCCAAATATCTATATAATGATGGTATATTTGTTATTAATGAAAGTGCATCAATATAATCTGGTGTTGATTTTAATGATTGCTCTTGTATATTTATAATTTGAATATTTTCCATTAATCTTTCATCTTTTCGTTCTATAATTGCATTATCATAAATATTAATTGTAAGAAGTTCTATACAATCAAAATATTGAAATTTTTGTATAGTTTGATTAGCCCATTGAAATTTTCTAGTATTATAACTTGTATCAAAATAATCTATATATTTATCAATTAAATATTTGTTAATTAAACTTACATCGATATTTAAAAGATTAAAAAATAAAATTCCATTACATATTGCTGGAACTGGATAATAATTTTCAATTTTTTTTGTAATACATATTGCCATATGATATACATTATATAATGATACTGAATTTGGTTGTTGATATAAATGAATTGAATGATAATCATCAATATTAAAAATATGTATATTATTTTGCTAAAAAATAAATTAATTAAAAAAATTAAAATTAAAAATTAAATTAAATTATTATATAAAAACATTTACAAAAGTTCTAAAATATTCAGAAATTTTTATAGAATGATCTTTTGCTATCTTTTTTTTATAATTATCTATTGTTTTATAACATGATGAAATTTCTAAATTTGCTAATGTATCTATTGCAGAAGAACTATATCCAGATGCTAATAAATAAAGCCCAATTTCTATTTTTAATTCATTTGCAAATTTATTTCAAGCTCTAGCAAGAAGATAACAAAACCCAACAGCTGATTTTTTATCATTTTCTTGAGTTTGATAATTTCTATATTTTGGGCTTAAAGCATTAAAAATTTCATCAAAAAACCCATTAAGTTGAAAATTAGATTGCATAATTAATTGTAAAAATTTATTGGGATCTAATTCTATTGAATAATTTAATTTTCTTTGCTCTTTAAAAGGAACTTTTGAAAGTAAATCAAGTTTATTTTCAAAAGTTAAAGCTAAAAAATAATAATAATATAAGTATTAATAAATAATTAAATAATTAATTAATTAATAAAAATAATATAAAAATTAAAAATATTACTTGAATTTGAAATACTTGTATCTTTATTATTTAACTCTTGACTTGCTTTAATTTGTAATTCTAATTGATTCATTCTATTAATTAATTTTGCAAAATCATCTTTATTTAAAATAACTTGATCATCAAAAGTATTAATTGTAATATTTTTCCATTCATCTTTAATAGTTTCAGAAATTGTAAAAACTTCAAAAATTTTCTTATCTTCAAAATCTACTGATTTTCTTTTATGTCTATTAGGTTCTACAATTTTTAAATAATGAGTATCACACAATTGATCATCTATTTCTAAATAATTATAATCATCAAATGTATTTTTTTCTTTTGATTTTTGAAGTACATTTTCTGTAAATTTATGATACCAATTTGCATTATGATTACAATCTATAACTTTGCAAGGACCTTTATTTTGTTCTCGTAGCATTTTAAAAATTTAAAAATTTTGATTTATGAAGTAAAAAATTTATTCTTTATATATTTAAAATGTTATTCAAAATAATTATTTATTTATTTATTTTTATTTATATATTTACATATTTAATCATTTGTACAAATACATTCACACTTTAAATATTCATATACCCACACTTTAGCATTTATACCATCTATTTTCTATATCATATATATTACATACATTTATTCAATACCCACATATTTAAATACACCCATATATTTAATTATTCATACATCTATATTTTTGCGCACCCCACATTCTATTATTTGAAACTCTTCATTATTCATATATCTATACATATTCTATTAATTATTTGCCCCACATTTAATAAACAAGACAAATGCACACAATGCTATACACTCAATTATTTGCACACCTACATACTTAATTGTTGTATATTCACAAAAGTTACTTGTATGCTCAAACATATTTGATATTCATACAATTATTTAAATGCCACGTATTAATTTCTTTATCTATACCTAAATACTTTAGTATTCTAGTTAATAGTATTATTACAGTATTAGATCTATAAAACATCTTAAAATAAAATAATAATTTGCAATACCAGGTATATAGGTCAAGATCTCTAGTTTTTTTTACTTAAATGACTTTCTTTACATATATTTATTTAGACACCACATCTTTCTCAGTTAAAATCAGCACTACAGTATTTGTTCTCAATGTAATTTAGTTTAGATTGTTAATAAAAAAAAATTGTTAATGCTAAAAAAAGGATCGGGATACAAAAAAAAATTATCAATTAGATTAGCCAATCAGAGATGTGTCGAAACATCTGATCCAAAACATGATCTGAGATATGATCTGAGGTATAATCCGAGATCTATAAATTAATCAATCAAAATGAACTTCCACTATGCTGCATCATCATAGCTATACAACTCTTCTCAACAATCACTTTTTTTTTTTCATAAAAATCTAAAATTCTTAAAAATACAAGCGTCTGTAAAGGTAGAAACAGTCTGTAAAGTAATCTTTAAGCTCCGTAACTCAGCAGTTGTTATTTAGAGGTAGTTCTCATATGTTATCTGCTAACTTTCTTAGAGTTTATACTCACCGCGGGGGCCTGGCACTTGTCATTTATAAATAGTTTTTATACGCTATTTGCTGACAAGCTCAGAGTTTATCACTTACCTGAAAAAATAAGAAGAGTACCAGTGCCTTCCTATGGATTCAGTGTGTTGAGTAAAGAAAATATACACTCTTTTATTAAACAAAACAAAGTGGTTTTGTCCCTTTTCTCCGCCTTCTCGCGGCTTTTCCAAAATTTTCTACAAAAGTGAGCAAAACAGCTTACTTCCTCCATAAGATCGGCATTGTTTACACCTACCAAATCTGGACAGTTCTGGCAGACTGTGATCACATGTCTGGTTTGTTTTGTTTATAGACCATGCTGCTTCACGTAATACCAAGGTTGGGTCGCTTATATTATTTAGGAGTCCGGATGATTTAGTCAGAAAATTTATTTGATAAGGCAAAGTCTTACACTAGAAATAGTATTTGTTATATAATTTTTTTCAACCTAGCACAGGTAATAGTAGTGCTAAAAAGACAGAATTTTCGCTGTCCTTTTTGTTTTCTTTTCTTTGTAATTTTTTCTTTTATATTCCCTTTCGTATTTGTTTTCTTTTTCTATATTCTTCTTTGTTTTTTCTTTTTCTCTTTTGTTTTTGTCAGTTTTGTTTTATTTGTGTTTTTGTTATATTACCCCCATTTGTTGTATACCCCTTTGAAGAAGGAAAAATGTTAAGAAAAAGACAATCTTGACAAAGCTAGCAATAAGCTTTCTATAATTTTTCGGGGAGTCATCTAGTGAGTTAGATGCTGGAGAGAAGTGAATTATTGCTGCGGCAGATCGCACTTGGGCACCATTACAAGCAGCTGAGTGAGTCTTTATTGAAGAGTAGGAGGGTAGAAGGCATTGAGTTAATTGCAGACTTTTTATTTGGAAACCATGTATTTAAATTACGCACTCTTAATACAATAAAGGCAGGATTGCCAAATTAAAAAAAAATATATATATTCATTTGCATAACTATGTTCAAAGCTAATTTATATGTGCTCCGATTTGGGGCATAACACAAATATCAAGCTACTTGTATACATATAAAATAAAAGAAAAATTAATAATATTCTTACTTTCTTGCATTATGATTCACATGTATAAAAAAAACATGACTATTTATGTTAGTTTATACTTGCTTATTACCGGTTTATTAATAGTTATGCGTAGCACTTTAATTGGAATTTCTCTTAGCATCATTGTAAAAGATTTTATTAGTTATTTATATAACCAAGAGTCATAGATCATATATACTTGCATGATCTATGACTGGTCGTATAGATCATATTGGTCATATAATATCATAGATCATATATATTGCAAAATGACTAAATGATCTATGACTAGTCATTTAGATCATATCGGTCATATGATATCATGGGCCAACACTGCACATAACAATATAAATAAGCGACGGTATATAATATTCGGTGTAATAGTAATATTCTTGTAACGGTAACATAGCATAGTGGAAATTTATTTGCAGATCATCTCCAGATAAAGTATCGGCTATGCCCCAGATGAAATTTTATTACTCACGAAACTTTTCAAAAGATTAGTCAATGCTTTCTAAACGCGTGTATTATAGTCTTAAAATACATTAATTTAGGTTCATAATTATCCATGTTACAATATATACAATATTATTCATTTCGCAATAAGTATACTATTTATTTTACAACAAATACTCTTAAGTTTCGCGACACAATCTGTTGAATAAAATAACATACACGAACATTTCTAAACACTGCTACTATAAACTATGTATTTATAAACCACTCATAACCTAAATATAATAAAAAGGTAGAGTTGGAATATTAGTTCCAAATATGTAGTACTTTTTACTTATAGAAAACAAAGTTAGAACTACAAAATCTTGTAACTTTCACTTACTAATTGCTTAGGTCGCCGAAACACTTTCCGACCTTTCAAAACTTTCACCTCTCATTTAGTTTCTCAATCTTTGCATCCTATTGTATCGGTTGTTAAAAAACAATAGATTTAAAGGTAAAAAAACGATATGTTAAGTCATCGTAATATTTACGTATTGCAGAAATGTCGTGACCATCAATATAAAAAAAATATATCTTCACCTCAATCAATCAAAATGAACTTCCAGTATGCTCGGCAACATTTGTATATACTGCCTTATAAAAAAAAATCTCTTGGAATTGTTCAAAAAATTCTGAAATTCGATTATTAGTTCGGAAAATCGACTCCGTATCGAACATTTAATGTTTATTGGATGAATGCGTTTTTTATACGTTTTTTATACGATAATTTTCAATCAAAAATTTTCTATTTTTTACATCCCGTACAAACATCGTTATGAAAATAGTACAAACATAAACCCTGTTCGGAAAATCGACTCCGTTCCGAACATTTTTTTGGACAATAACTGTACAAACTTTTTTTATAGGGCTGTATGTAGTATTTGGTATAACAATGCATATTTGTACCATATTTTACCTAGCCTGTTATTTAAAAATGACCCTAATATAACCTACAAGAATTGAGCAACACCAAATACTATATAATACATAGTAAATAACGATAATACTTTATAGTTATTGTATGGGTTGTAGTGATAACCCAGTTACACACGGGTTCATATTCCGCGCCGAAGGCACTGGGTTGAAATATGAGTGCTGCCAAGGCAAAACCTGTAAGCAAATATTTGAGGTATCAATGAGGCGAGTTTAATCCTGGGAAAATTGTGATACTACGTATTAAATACCTAATTGTATATAATTTGTATATAATTTGTATATACGTAATGATTTAATAGTAATACGTATCACAATTTTCCCAGGATTAAACTCGCCTTATTGATACCTCGAATATTTGCTTACAGGTTTTTCCTTGGCAGCGCTCATATGAACCCGTGTGTAACTGGGTATTCAATATACTCATATAATAACAGTGATTATATTTTAATAATGCAATATGTAAACATGGGTTCTTCATGTTAAATATATGTATTAAAATTTATTATAATAAGTAATGAAGAATGAAAAATTATTATTGGGCAACCTTATTGAGTTTACAGGTAATAGTTATGAATAATCGGGTATAAGTGAGTTAATTATACTTTCCTTTGAATTTTCGTTTGTATTTTGTTAGCCAGATTTTAATTTAACGAAACTCAGAAATATCAAGATAAAAAGATTGCAACAAAAAAGATACCCTTAATCAATAACTTTTTCAAAATTAATCATCTAACCTATGAAACAAAACACCTATTTAATTTAATATGCAATGTTCCAAATATTTGATTATCATAAACTGATATTCTAAATAATATTGGCAGACAACTATAAATAGATTTTACCTCAGCTATATCAATCTCCGTGGCATACTCAGATAAATATCCTATCCTAGACGGTCTTTACACTTGCAATCCTCCACTTATCCTGCCCATGATTGTCCCAAATACAAAACAAAGCAGAAACCAATCTTTACTACACTGCTCAGAAAATTGAACTAATATTATTATAATTATTTTCTATTTTTGTGCCAAATTCATACGAAAACATGATGGCGGATCCATCGTATAAACTTCCTATTAGAAAACTATATGTACAGAAAGTTATGAAAATATCTCCGTTCCTATTATAGCATAATTAACCATCAGGAAAAACAGTATCGTCTATTTCAGCACATTCCAATTTGTCAAATTTTGTATCGTCAAATTCTGTATCATCTATAGCTGTACAAAATTCTAAACTACAATTTCTACAATGTTTAAACACCAATTTTTCTAAATTTTTACATGCGATTAGTCCATTAGCTTTCTCGCATCTAGAAAAATCGACGAACCAAAATTCCACCACTCGCAATGTATCTGCTTGTTTTTCTATTACTGATATTATTTGCTGAACAGATAATTTGCAAAATGAGAGTTTTAACGTTTCTAAGGCTTTTTGCTGAGATATAAGGGCGCAGATATTTTGAACATTTTCTGAAATAGTTTCCTCATTAAAACTTCGGTCTTCGAGCCTTATTTCTATAGAATTCTAAAAAATTAATAGCATGTATTAGAATAAAATTCATTTCCTTTTCAAACTAAACAAAATTTTAAAATACAAACCAAATTCTGACATACTTTTGACAATTCTGCCAAAAGTTTGTCTTCCTTGTTTGAAACTTCAATAACAAGTTTTTCTAAATTGGATATTAATTTGGAAAATTCTGGTATAAACTGGTCTTTCAAACAATTTTGAAATTTGCCAATTTCGATTTCTAGAGATTTTAATGTTGCTCCACTATCTGTATATGACTTGAGAATGCTTTGCAAAATTCCAATTGCAAATTGACCGTGATTATGCGTTGTCTCTTTTTTACTCCAATTATATACGGCCAAATTAAGATCACTATAATAAATATTGTTAATAAAAGATAAATAATTGAATGCAGCTTTGCTTTGCTGTAATTTTTTTGGGGAGTCTTTACAACACGAAAGTAAGGTTTCTATTATAGATGACTTTGAAGATTTAAAAGTTGACCAAAGCACTGGGATTGTATTATCAAGCCAAATTTTCGAGACAAGAATGCAAGAATGTAAATTACAGAAGGAATCGGTAATTAAAGCATCTTCATGTAATATGTGAAAAATTTTTCGAAGTATTTTGTTTTTCTCGAACATTTTTATTTACTTCAAGGTTTTGAACCTATCATGTTTTTTAGCATTTCGAGAAATATAGCATGTAGTCGGTTTGTTTTGAGAAATTAAACTTTTGATGCGATATTCGGAGTACTTAGACAATACTTAGGAAGATCGAATTAAATAGATTGCGTCATTATTTATGCAATCACAAGGTTTGTTACCATCGCGTGACCAGACATTGTGTGCTTTCTATTATTATAAAGGCACAAAACCTCTGCTTAGTAACATAATCGAATTTACGGAGGTAATTCTCCGCAAATTTTATAGCCTTGGAGAAATTGTACCTTCTAAAAAGAAAGTAATTTCAAATATGTCTATGGCAAATAATATGACCTAAATAAGCAAATTACGTTTTTTGTAATTTCAACCTAAACTATGTTACATTTATTATCCATTTACATTGCTCCTCTCCTATACATACATATATATTACTTAAAAGTTTTACCTATCCAATAGAGTCAGCAAGTGCCAAGCACGGTATTATTAAAACACAGTACCTGCGCCTCCTATTCATGGTGGGACTCAGATATCATGATTTTATCATGGAAACGCTGGGTTAACTTAGTGATAGGAATCGACTAAGTTTTAGTCGACTAAATCGACTAAAATCAACCAATCGACTAAATTTTATTAGTTGACTAAAAATCAACTAAAAATAGAGATAATAAATATATAGACTACGTAGTGCTGTGCACATTGGAATATTCCGGACCAAAATTTTATAACGCGGGCCAAAATTCCATTCGCATGAAATTTGAAAAAACTCAACACTAATAGCTAACCAATATTTTTGATTGGTTGACTAATAAATTGTAGTTTATTATGTATACAATACTGGGCAAAAATTGTTGAATAACGGTAATTTGGCTCAAACGGGCAAATGATTGGCTGACATGTGCCGCGCAGCGGCACGTGTCAGCCAATCATTTGTCCGTTTGAGCCAAATTACCGTATTCAACAATTTGCCCAGTATTGGTGTTATCCGGCAATTTATGATCATGATTGGTAGGGAGTCGCTCGCTGAGTTTTATTTTTTGAATATTGGAATAACATAGAACACATGAAAAAAATAACAAGAAGAAATTTTTTCATGATCATATGAGTTTGCCGGATAAATTTACTTTATATAATATACGAATAGTCGACTAGTCATAAAATTAGTCGACTGACTAGTCGATTCGGATCACTAGGTTAACTGCGACTTTTCACATCCTAATTAAGCGGACAAATTATCTAGATTTTGATGCTGCTTCATAGAATATTTTGTATATTTTTTGCTTAATATGATGTATATTCTTTCTAGAACTCACTTTCTTATAACTTATTCGTCTCAATTAGCATTTTAAAATTTAAAAATAAATAAATAATAAATAAATAGTGTTCTAAGTTATTTAGCCTTTGAAATAACTGGTCATTTATTGTTTGAATTATTTTAGTAGATTATTTACTATTATCAATAAGTCAAGCGAGAAAACTTTATAAATTACATTATTAGCTACACTATAAAATTTATCTTTAACTTCTCTTTTTGACTAAAGCTTATTGTAGATCATACAAAAACTAGCTGGTTTTTAGGAACCAAGACATCATTTTATAAACTCTCAATTTTTGATATTTTAAAATCTAATAAATTAGTCAAGAAAACTTGCACCATATGGTGCTGCTAATAGTAGCTTCAATCTAACTTGAGATATTGTGAGAAGGAGTACTGTACAAGAAGAAAATGATAATCAGAATGATCCAAAAATTTATTGAAGTTCAGACTTAAACCTCCACTATAATTACACATTTCCCCAACAGCGTACATTAATGGAGGGTCTACTGTACATAGCTTTATAATTTTTTTAATCACATGAGAAATATTATAATTACAACAAGATTTAACTGTAACGTTATATATACTTAACATGCTAATAGATCTATTGCAATTGCATATGTAACATATATTATATGCTATCTTTTTTTTTTTATTTCTACGTATTATATAGACATATATGTAATATAGTTAGATAAATGAAAATCATAGTCAAAATTTAATTCGCATGAGTTATGATGATATTATTATCTTTTGCGAGATATATCTCTACTCCTAAATAAATAAGAGCAATCGTATCAACATACGCGAATAACTCTAACAAACAATATACCTGATATACAACTATTTGTATCTTCACATACATTTAGCCGCGTGCTTTTTTTCGTAACTACAAATAATTATAATCTTCTTTAACGCGTAACTGTAATTAAACCATATTTTGGCACACTTTATACAATGTCCGTCGCTAAAGTAAATTGGTTGTCTCAAACTTAAGAATAATTCGAGTTGTAACAGTACTATTCAAAAAGTGTTGATCAAATATTTACTCCTCTAATGTGCTGATTAGACAGAAAAGCCCTTAATTTTTGAATGTTTGAGTATGATATTGCACCTTAATGTATATAAAAAATGTCTTCATAATATTACTTTACACATGAAAAGAATACAGTAGGGATTGGAACCATTTAACTATATTAAATTTTTCAATAGTTTCGTTCCGAGTTATTTTGATTATGGACCAAACTTATTACAATGCCGGTTAAATTAAATGATTAGAAAACTATTAGGCGGTTTCAATATTTAGGATCTTTAGGATACAAGGACAATTGATAATTACAATCTTCCCTTAATCTTATCGGCTGAACCATTTGAAGGATATACATGAGGACGATGAGAGTTAAATAGACTTTACGAATATAATTCTTTCTATGACTAACATTGTTAATAAGGGCATATGAAGGTTTACAATTCACGATATAGCCCTCCTACATTTCCGACTTCAGACCATCTTTTCATTGCATCATCAAGTCCAGCACTTTTGATCAGATGCTCGATATTATGTACATTATTTAAACTTTCTTAGATACGCAAAAGTTTTTCAGAATATTCTTTCCATAAATCTTCAAAAGATATGTTAAAAGAGCTAATTGATTTATTGAGTTTTCATAATAATTTCAAATTATTCACATTATTCGAATTGACGAACCTGATATCTTGTCTACAGATTCAATGGCTGGTTCTATTGCTTTAATCCATGTTTCGATCTCTTCTTTTAATGTCATTTTGATTTCTGTTTTGTTTAATCGATATTGGAATGCATCCGCAATAATTTCTCCTACTTTTTATTTTTTTTTTTGCAAAATTATCAATTAATGAGTTCTAAATTATTACGAATTGATCGTTCATATTAAATTTTTATCCTCACCTTGTCTAATCATCTTCATATTTTGCTTCCTTTTATTTTTTCCAAGTTCGCCCTCACTTTTATATTGCGTTGTTATCGACCTACGCAATTCAAGATCTACAGATCTTTTCTGTATATCTGGATTATTTCTTTATTTATTAATTTTTTCGGCCAATACATTCCAGAATGGTTTTAAAATTTTTTCCAAATCATATTCCATCAAAGTTTTAAAATCTTTGAAATTTTTAGAAATCAATTCAGCTTTTTCTGAAAAACTTTCCGCACATTTAATTTGTTGATTCATCCAATAATCCAGTTCTTGTTCTGGAGTTGATTGAGAATTATCATCGTCACTATTATTCTCTTTACGTGATTTATTCTCCCATTTTTTGATAATTTCTACGTTTTGAGCATATTGAAGTTTGTAGTCTACTGATGCATTGTAGATTAATGAAGCAAGGTTTAACATTTCAAGAATAGAGTTCTTTCTAAAATCAAGGCAATGATTCTGAACTTCGTGAAATTTGTTAAAGATTTTGGCAAATTTTTTTTCAAAAATTCCTTCAGACATGATATTAAAACGATTCATAAAACTCTCTTTGCTTCTTGGAATTTGTATTATACAAAATTAGAGCTGTTACCCGGGTTGGCTTGACCCGTACGGGTCAGAATTTTGACGGGTCACGGGTCAAAAATTGGGTTGACCCGGGTCAAACGGGTCAGTTAAATGGACGGATAGATAGCAATAACTGGGGTTTTCCGATGTAGAAAATGAAAGAACTCTAATTGCGAGCAAGGTCAAAGTTTTTTTTGACACAAAACCCGAGATTTTCCGAGTTAAAATGGTTATATTTTAAAATATATTTTCAAGCTTAACCTATGTAACTATTGACAAGGGTCAACCCGGGTCGAAAATAGTTGACCCGGGTCAAACCCGGGTCGCTATTTTTCGACCCGGGTCACAGCTCTATACAAAATGTAAGATAACTAGATATATTCGTCATTTCAGGAATGTTTAAGTTAAATGTATCATTATCTTCATTATTTTTAAAAAAGACCTTGGAGCCACTAGAGCTCATATTGTAACCAAAAAATTAAGCTAAAGATTTTCTTAAATTCACAAATTTTAATTTATTTGTATTTATATATTGAATATTTACGAAATTATATAACTTTCAGCCTACTACCCTAAACGTTTAGCTTAGCTACATATATTATTCGAGTTATTGTCGGTAGTGTTCAAAGATAAGCCGGCTTATCACGGCTTGCTGCGGCTTATCACATGATAAATTCGAATTTATCACCAAGCCATGTGACATCTTCGAATTATCACATGATATTTTCGCGATTATCACATGGCTTGGTGATAAATTCGAATTTATCATGTGATAAGCCGCATTAAGCCGCAGCAAGCCGTGATAAGCTAGCTTGTCTTTGAACACTACTTTTTTGAAATTTTCTACTAATTAGAACTCCTATTCCAGAGCCTTTTTTCTTATCAACATTTGCACTTGACCAATAGCCTTTGAATAAGCTCTCTGGGGGAGTATATATTGGCCTTTCTTTTCTGTTATGTTTGTTTCTGTGATTCCTAAAATATCTACCGTATTTTTCGGACGTGGGTACCCCCTTGCAGTGTACTCTTTACGGGTTTGGAAGGACCCGATCATGATTTATACCCGGGTATTACATATATTTCCTAATGATACATATATACAAAGTAATAACAACCTAATTTTTGAATCATGATTGTAATATTTGACAACAGACATGAAACGAGATTTTTAATTTAACGATGCCTTAATTTAGTAAGCACAAATTTAATTTTTTATTGCTACAGAATTCTTTAATAATTCAATACCCGATCATTACATTATTATTACGGTACACGTTTTTTATATCAAACATTAGTAAAACATGCTAGTGCATTTTGTAAAAAACATTACAAGCGAATAAGCTTTATTATAAAAAAAAAAAAATACAGAATTTGATATTATTCCCAATCATTATCATCTCTGATTTCTTCTTTATACTCTTCACCATCTACATCGTCATAATCTGCCGCCTCTTCAATATTTTTATCATTTGTATTTGCTAAATCCTCACCTAAAATTCCGTAGTCAAACACCATATCATCTTCAGATCCATCCATATTTACCGAAATGCCGCAACATTTAAATACATTTCTAATTAAACGAGGGCTAATTTCATTCCATGCTTCTCCTACCCATTGAGCTAAAGTAGAATATGACGGTTTTCGAATACGTCCAGCGGGCGTAAATTGATGAGGATTATTGATCATCCATTGGTTGTAACGATCACGCACCTATAATTTAAAATTCTATTAATATGACCTATTATTAAAAAAAAAGAATACAGTAAATTTACTTACTTTCGCTTTAAAGCTTTTATTTACTGCAACATCAAGAGGTTGCAGTTTACTAGTTAATCCACCTGGGATAACCGCAAGATGGGTATTTTTTTCTTGAAAATGGTGCTTAACAGGATCTACCGTGTGACCTTTAAAAGAATCCAAAATAAGAAGAGATCGGGAATCTGAATCACTACGCTCAGTCCACACATTATCGATCCAATAATGCATCTCTTCTTCATTACACCACCCTTTTTCGTTAACACGAATAATGACATCTTCCGGGAACCTTTCACGGGAGATGTTTTTTAACTTAAAAATACACATCGCAGGAAGCTTTCTTCTATCTGCAAGACATCCCAGAATTACAGTAAAGGACACCCTTTCATGTCTAGTAGATTGGATGCTTATTGTCTTAGTTCCACGTTTTTCAAGAGTTACCGGGTAAGGCATATCAAATGACAATGGAGTTTCATCCATATTTCCAATGTATTGGATGTCATAGTTGTATTGACGGCGTTTGAATAAAACAAGGCTTAAAAATTCGCTTTGTTGTTCAATAAGATCTTCAGGGAGGTGCTGCGCAACTGTTGTACGTCGGCGATTTGATAAATCATTGCGATACAAAAATCCACATAACCAACTTGTAGAAAATTTAAAATTATTAATATCAGGATATGCATCCTTTATTTTCTCATAATTAACCAACGTTTTAGCCCTTCTAACAACCATGTTTTGTAAAACAGCCATCTGCTTTTTACGAAGCATTTCAATCCACTCAACTAGCCTTTCTTCTAAAAGTGAATACTTGGCTAGTCGACCACGGTTGAGTGTTAAAAGATAAGGTGCAGCATTTAAAAGTTCTTGCTTCTTGTTTCGCCAGTCACGAACTTGCTTGGGTTCGATATCAAAGCGTTTTGCAGTTGCTCTCACATTTTGAATACGTTCAAAGTAATGAACTACCATGAGTTTTTCACGAACACTCCAAGTACGTCGAGCACTGCTTTTAACACGGCTTTTTTTGGTGATACTTCTACTTCGTGGAGACATTTTTTTTTTTTAACGCGTTAAGAAAGAACTCGTGTATTTTTATAGGGGGAGCATAGGGAGAACGTTGCACAAAATACATAACATTTAAAAATGAAATTTTTTTTTTTAAAAAAAAAAATGAACCCAAGAAAAAAAGAATGAGATAAATTTAAAAAAAAAAAAAAAAGGAAAAAAAGTCCAAACCCAATACCGAGCCATTAAAAATTTTACCCTATAGGGTAAAACCCTAGAGCCGTGTCCTGCTCAAGGTAATAGGAGTATGCTAGATATGAATTAGAGTTCAGAAATTCATGTTCACGACAATAAATTTAAGGAAAAAAAATGTCCACAGCGATAAAGTTAGAGAAAAAAAAAAAAAAAAAAATCTAAACCCAGTTACCGAGCCGTTAGAGTAAAACCCTATAGGGTTTTACCCTAGAGCCAAGTCCTGCTCAAGGCAACTAGGCAATCTTCAGATGCAAAAGAATGGTTTACGAAACAACCAAGAATTGATGATGCATTTCATACCTTTTTTTTTTTTTTTTAAAAAAAAAAAAAGCCGATTTATATATGTGAGAATCTTAATGCAATTCAGCAATTTAAGGCTCAATCACATAAATAACATCACTAAAATCTGATTTAATTTAATCGCATGAATGGCGTCATAAAAACTTACTAGTTTTTTTTTTTTTTAGCAATTTCACATAAGTGCTGCCAAGGGAAAAAGGCCGTATGGGCTTTCAATTATATTTTGTGTACAGTTAACCGTCTATGGAAAGTCTAGCATAATAATAAATTTTTTATAGATAGCTAACTGCATGCAAAATATAATTGAAAGTCCAAACAGCCTTTTTCTCTTGGCAGCACTCATATGAATATCTTATAGCGATAAAAGTTCAATCAACTACCGAACTGGACTTATGTACCCCTATCAATACGGTATACCCACATATAGATATACCCCGGGTACGAATTTGAGATATAAAAATACCCGGGGTACCCACGTTCGAAAAATACGGTATTTAAAGTGTATATCAATTAAAGTTACAGTACATATATCAATTAAAGTTACAGTACGTATATTAATTATATTTCTAATTAAAGTTACACATATTTCTAATTAAAGTGTTAATTATCAATTAATAATATAGTGATCGATATATTATGATTTTGGTTAGTTCAATGATAATTGATAATTTGATCTATATCGATTTCTTACCCATTATCAATAATAAGCGATTTATAATATATATATCGCTAAATAACAAATTAATTGATGTTTAGTGTTTAAATTTAATTAATATAAAACGATTAAGTGTTATATATTGTTATAAATCTACTTGAAAAAATTTATGATGCTGGGGAAATGTAGTTTTTAATATATATCCAGAGATTTGTTTGCTGACTCTTAAAATAAGCAGATCATAATATATATGCTATAAAATAGAGGAGATTGTCTCTTTTTGATTAATACTGTCCTTGACTTGGTAGGAGAAGATAAGTTCATAGTCTGTTATGATTTTGTTTTGATATTGGAAGAAGATAGAGAATAGGAGGTCAATGATATATAGTGGTATCTTTATTCATTTGAGAACCAGTGTGAGGAGTAGTATATGAACTATATTATAAGCCTTTGACATGTCTTGGACCAGAATTTAATAAGTTTTGTTATTAATGTTGCTATCTTCAAATATATGTGATATAGTAAGTATGGAGTTAAGTATGGAGATGTAGAGTAAAGCTACATTGTTGTAAGGAGAGAATGTTATATTTGAGTAGTAACTTGCTAAGATGCCAAGTGAATATTTTAGTGAAAATTTTGCATATATGTTTAATTAGTGTAATAGAGCAGGTTGTGTTTAAATCATTGTTGTAAATAGATTTCTTCAGAATAGGCCAAATATTTGCTTGTAACCAAGCTATAAGTATGGTTTGTAGAAAAGGCAAGCATTAAAGATATATAGAAATGCTGAGTCTTTAGTTGGGTCTAGGTATTTAAATATCTTGTTTGTTATGCTAGTAGGTCCTAAGCTTTCTTTAAAGGAGATTTGGTTAAAGTCTTATTTAGTTCATGTGGCGTAATTGGTTTTGTCAAAGAGTTGTATATATTAGCAAAGATATAAGTTCTTGGCTCATATTCTCCTACTCAGTCTGGTGCTAAGTTAATTTTT